ACGGAGGAGTATCTTTGTCATAGACACATATCAAGCCTTCCACATAAGAAATTCTCCAAGCAAATACTACTGTTTTCAGTGTCACATGTATTGGAAAAAAAACTGTGTGTCTGAATTAAATTTTATTGTACATTTTATCTATATAAGAAGCATGTCTTCATTTCAACTAATTTGCTCATAATCCATAGATACTCATTTGCTGATCAATATGGCCATTTCAACAATTGTATCATAAAATCAAGGTATCACAAACATATGCATTATGACAGTATGCAGACCAGTTCTAAGTGCACCATGTTTTCGCTGAAGTTCATTTTTTGGTAGATTGATTTGATGAAGTTTTTACCTTCTTGCACGAGTTTTCTTGATATTCAAAAGATAATTGGATATCAATGACCACACTCGTCTTCTTTACCTAGATTAGTTCACCTTGTCAGTAGGTTGTCTGTCTTCTCTGTTTGTTATGTCAATTGCTAGGAATTTTGAATTGGATAATTTTAAATGTCAATGCTTCAAGTATATCAAACCAAGGGGAGATACACTCACTACTGGAAACATGGCCTTTTGGAAGTAGATGTGCCTTAAATATATGTTAAGAATCAAATTAACCCAAATGCTTAAGCTATTAGAAATTGGCCCCAACTTTGTACTCGAGTCATCACTCTTTATAATTCTTCCAATATGGGGCTATACTTGCATATGAATTATGGGCAATCTCCTTTACATTTGTGGATATCTCAATTTTCTACGAAAAATATGGGCCCTTCATTTGCAAATATGTTACTCTTTCTAATTTCTTAATTTTCATGGTTAGGAGTCATATATATCAATAAATAAGGGTTAAGTTTCTCGCATAAAACATGGCTACTTTTTTGTGAGGAGATCAAGGGTTTTCAAAGCACTCTTGTATTCTCCGGTTTTCTTGTTATAGTGAACAATTGTTCTGTGCTCGCCATGAATGTAAGCTGTTGTGCAAGACCACATAAATCTTGTTTGTTCGTGATGTTCTTGCTTTGTTTATTTTTTCGATATCCTTATGTGTGCATTCTTTGTACTCTCTATTTGGTCCTCTTGTAAATTGTTTTCCCTTCATTCAGCAAAAGATAACAAGATAGCCGTTCCATTTTGTTTAAACATGCAGGTGGTTCATGCCAGTCAATGTCCTTCTCACCTCCATTTTTGGTTGTGTGCTTGGATGGATAGTTATTCAAATCACAAAACCTCCTCGACGCTTAAGAGGCCTCATTTTGGGTTGTTGCTCAGCTGGTAAACATAAAATTTCAGCAAATAATTTCAAGTTTATTATTCTACTAAAATACGTAGTGTAATCTTTACATCTTTGAGGTGGATTTGAATAAACTGATATTTGATAGTAATATAATTTTTAAGTTTTCAACACATTGACTCAATCCATATTTCATATGTTCATCACACTAATGAAGACTTGATTGATGATTAACCAAAACTACGTAAAATAATATCCATGTTTAAATCCAAAAGGTTTGATCATTTCACATTGTTCCATTAATGGATAATAGCAATGAAACTATGTAGTTATTTACATAAAAGTGTGGCATCTTTGAAAAGAAAAGAAAACCAGCCAAATGCAGACTCAAGCAACAAGAGATGTTGAAAATTTTATCATTGGTTGCTCTCATGCTATTAATAACTCCACAGGAATTTAATTGGGGAAGAACATAAAAATAATTGCACAAAAAAATTCCTTACCCAAGTTACACTGTGTCAACAGGAAATTTGGGTAATTTATTTCTCATTATCATCCCTGCCATTTGTAAAGAGAAAGCCAGTCCATTTGGTGCTCCTGATGTGTGCCATACCTATGGATTAGCATATGCGTCCCTCTCCATGGCTGTAAGTTTTTTTTTCCTTTCCTAAACTTGAGCAAATCATAGGTTGATGCACTTCAATCATTCCGTATGTACAATTTGTTCTTTTTTTCTGATCTTTAACCAACATCTATTTTGGCACGTTTTCTGCAATTGGATGGATCTTAAACTAATTTCATAATTACGTTATCAGGGTAACCAGCTATTAAGTGCATTAACTCCATGCATAGATCTTGTGCAGTGAGTTGCGCTTGATTGAGCTAGGCTTTTTAAAGTCTGGCTTCAAATTCTTTTGAGTCATTTTGAGCTGCCTCAATTGTTGCTAGTTCAGAACCTAAACTTCAAGATAGACTTAACTGCCCCCTCTAATTATTAATGGATTGGCCCTTTGGTTTTTTGGACTTCGGATATTTTACCTATTTGCTTCTTACAGGAAGAGAATTCATTCATTAGGCTGGTCCAAATGCTGCCAGATTTTTAAATTATAGTAACTTCCAAGCCTAATCTAGCCAACCTGGTGCAGGTACAATACAGGCTACATGTATAGGTACGGGTACCGGACACAGAAAAATTGAAAAATGTAGGGTACGTGGACACGGCTAAATATTAATATTAAACATTAATAATTTACATTAGATAACTATCGTTTTTCAATTCATATGTTGTTAGAATTAAAATTCCTATTATATTTTTAAGTTTCTTTTATTATGTTGATTGTTGTAAATTGGAAACTACTCGTTTTTGAACTAGACACCCACCTGACCCTTTTAAACCATAGTTTTGAACTTGGGCATGACCTGAAATGAACCTGACCCATGTCTAGTGTGTTTCAAGAAAGAGATGTGAAGTGTAGGATATATGCCCAAGAAGTGTTTGACAATTGTTTAAATTAAAACATATATCATATAATTGAGTACATGTCTGAATAAATATATTCATATATCTGAGGAGTGCATGAAGTTTGGGTATGGGTACGTGTCAGGTACATGTCGGGTACGTGTGACGCTTCATGATAAAAGTACCCGGGTAATATAGAATTCACTGCAGATGGAAATTTAGCCACAATCCTCGGAATAGAGGACATATTATTAATTGATGCTGCTTAATGTTGGCCTAGGCAATGAGTTCATTAATGGCTTAGCTGCTTTATACATAATTGTATAGAGAATTGGTCTCAGGCACTGCACATTTACTAAAATAACTAATTTGCGGAGCAGTGTGGAAAAAATATTCCGTATCATACTGTTTTATTGTAACAAACTATTTCTTTAATAAAAAATCATATCATATTTATTTGTTATGACAATACTACAGCTTGGTGCAATCTTTCTGTGGTCTTGCGTGTACAATATTGTTCGGGTGACTGCAAATACTGGAGAAGACGGAGCAAATGGCAGAAGTCAAACCCCTAAAATGGATTCTCCAGAAGAAACTGCTAAACTAATCCCTGGGAGCTACAAAAACTATTCGATATCTGTTGATTCTTCAGATGAAAGTGAGCTACCAGTCTCTATATCTGAGGAATCTTCTACCAAAAGGAAGGTTGTTACCATTGTCTAGTCTTTTCTCTTTTGTTATAATCCAACCATCATTATTTTTGAAATTTATCTCTTTCTGGGTTTGTCAATGATCATAGTAATTAATATGAAATTAGGGATAAATGAAGAAGACAAAATGTAATTTATTTCCAAAGGTGACTTAAAATCATATCAATCCTCTTCCTTCTATTCCGTGCTATGTGTTATGGAATATGCTTCTGCATTTCACATAAATTGCCAGTTGTCTTACATAAAATTGATTTTCAATCATTTTTGCGATATTTAATAACATCAGTTAATACAATGTTTTGACATAAAATTAGAGATATACATATGCACATGTTTGAAAAGAGACACATAGTTTGATGTAACCACGAGCGTGCACACATGCACTTGTAGACAGGCACACAAGGACACAGGTGCATGCATGGACACACATCATTATATATATGTATATGTGTATAGCCATCCATATCTTCTTGCGATATTAATTATTGTATATATTTAATCTTTCTTTTCACTTTGTGTCACGCTTCATCTTCTCATAATAACCATCCATATCTTCTTCCCAATTTTATTTCTTGATGACTTAACATTTTGTCATACGATACTAAAAATATTCAACTGAGTGATTTCCTCATTTGGAATAAATCCAAATATAATACAACAAAGGTCTACAATTTTGTGAGGGAAAAACATAGAAGTTTGAAAAAGTGTACAAGTACATACAGCTCAACTTCTACAGAATAGACTTCAGTGGATATCTAATATGTGTGCACAGTAAACTAGCAGTATTTCCTAAGTTATCATATTATGGCCTTTTATGTGTTTTTGACCATATTTTACAGGTATTGGTTTGTAAATTAACACAGAAATTGTCCTCAGTGCTATTAGCGATCAACTTCAAAAGGTTGTTTGCGCCATCAACCATTGGTGTGGTATGATATTGTTGTTTTTTCATACAAGTATATGACTGTTGCATATTCCATTCATTAAAAAAAAGTTTGTATTAGTTCTTTATAAAACGATCTAAACATAAACTTCTGTTCCCAGAAACTGACATATTACTGACATCTTGTTATTTATAGAATTTACATATGTTAAGATCTATTTTTATGACCTATTTTAGACATGCAATTACAATCTTAAGGTCACAATGCTTGTTCATTCTTGTTACTTATTATGTTCACCATATTTTCTCGTTTCAATCAATAGAAAGGATAATTTAGTTCTTCCCCTGAGCTTTCTCTGAATCCATTATCTGTTTGGCAAAGGAATCTGAAATCTACCAGGATGGTGGTGGGTGTTTTTTTAAAGATTAATTATACTTGCCTGTAAATTTTCTTGGACTTCAAAACCATTTCATGAAGCTTAATTGTTTGGTCGGACCAGTAGCAAGTTCGTGATTTAGGCTAACCAACTTATTGAACTTTGACATATGAATAACAAAATAATTCTTCCCTGACAAAATCCATATCATCTTGTACATAACTAGGTGAATCTGACATAAATTGTTAAAACAACAAGATAAACTCTTTCATATCTGTAGATAATAGTACTTGATTATTGTAGAAGCATTACATAGCTAGAGCAATTTAAATCAGAAAACTGTGCAATTCTAAAGCAACTTAGAGCATCTGATATTCATGGATTTTTAATAGTGCAATTCCAGCATATATTGAATCCAGTCAATCAAAACCCATGCAGAGAAAAAAAACAACAGAACTTACTTTTTGCAACCACATTATTAGACCTATATAGAACTTACTTTTTGCAACCACATTATTAGACCTATATATGCTTTTGATGTTGAATTGGGGATAAGTTGTCTAGGAAACTGGAAGTTTGACTTTTATGTTAGATCACTCTTGAAATTGAATTTAAACTTTCATATTTGAATTCTTTTATGTTGTGTTATTACTGAATATTCTGCAAGCGAAACGTAGTTGAGTTTTTTGTTTGCTTTTTTTAGATAGTTGGATTCGTTGTTGGACTGGTACCTCTTATTAGAAAAGCATTGATAGGTGAAAGTGCTCCTCTTCGTGTAATTCAAGACTCGGCTTCCTTGTTGGGGTAATTCTTAACTCGAGTTTCACTCTCTGTAGTCCAAATAAATGTGATCATGGAAATCAGACATCAAGTGACTGTCTAATCTTATTGTGCCTCTGCTTTTGCCTATTAATTACTACTCTATCTGCTGAGATTTTATTTCATTACCATTTGCGTGGAGCTTAGGTCTACTACACTATTAGGTTGAGGGAATAAAATGCAAGCTTAAAGGTTTAAGAGACTAACATCAAAACAATAACAATTTAAAGGAACAATACCTAGAACACCTTTGTTTTATATATATGATTTGTCTTTAGTTGCAGATATTTCATCAATTAAAATTTTTGGCATATAGGTTGCAATATTTCACAGATGGAGGAAGGCAATGGTTCTCAAATCAAACACCTGCATTTCCTTTCTTCTTCTTTCGACATTGGATACATCTATTCTTATTTATTGCAATTACAATGAGATACTTAATAACTTGAGAACGCATAAGAATAAGCAGGCTGATATTTCCATATTATGAGACGAATTGTATTACTAATTCTTTTGAATAATCATTTGGATAACAACAGACCTAGAAATAAACGTTTCTTATATCTAAGAGTAGCATGTAAAATGCTCAAATCATAATTTCTGTATTGCCTTCAATAACTGCCCTTAATCCGTAATATATCTTTCTATGGAATATTACTGTACTTAATTTGTTGACACTTGATAAACTATCCTTTTCTTCCTTCCTTGGATGCAGCAATGGAGCAATTCCAACTGTCACCCTGATAATGGGTGGAAATCTCGTTAAAGGTATCAAGAACACCTCTTTTCAGAGTTTATTTCTACTGTATATGTAATTTGTATATCTTTCCAGGTTTGCAAGGATCTGGCATTCACTCCTCGCTCGTGCTAGGAGTTGTAGTTGTTCGATATTTCCTCTTGCCTCTGATAGGCATTGTCATCGTTAAAGGGGCAATTCGATCTGGTTTCGTGCATTCTGATCCTTTGTATCAGTTTATTCTTCTGCTTCAATATTGTGTTCCACCTGCAATGAATATAGGTAAGCTTCGTGTTTTTTTTTGTTTCTTTGCAAGTTTAGTAGCGTATTTGATTTGTTGTAGGTTCTTTGGGTGTAAATCCTAACGAATCTTGATGAGTAATTGTGTTTGCTTTTTGAAAATGTTAGGAGTTAATTGTGGATAGACCCCTGTACTATCACCTAGTTGCAGATAACCCGCTCTTGTTCTATTGTTGTAGATAGACCGAGTGAAATTTTTGACTCTTTTACCCTCAGAAGAAAAGGAAATTGTTCTCTGACAAATGGACATTCTGAGGGTAAAAGAGTCAAAAAGAACATCCATTCAGGGGTCTATCTGCAATTGGTCAACAGTACAGGGTGTCTATTTACAACAGTAGAACTACGGATGGTCTATTTGCAATTGGGCGATAGCATAGGGGGTTTGTCCTCAGGCAACCCTGTTTAATCAACATTTTAGGTCAGGAAACATTGGTCACATTGCTTTTCTCGATCTTGTTATTTGTTGCTTTCCATTTTACATATAGTTTCTTTCCCTTGTTGATCTTTCAGACAGACGATATATAGCAATGCAAGTTGGCATTTCTTACAACTTGCTTCATAATGTTGATAAGTGGAGCAGTGCATAATAACTTGAGCACTTTGCTTGCGTGACTGTCAAGAACATAACATCATTTGGTCTCCCAAGTATCATGAACTTGCTCCTGTTTTGTCTAGTGTTGACATATTAGTAATAGATAGGGTGTTATTTGTAAGTTGTGTTGTAAGGGCCTATATAAGCCCATCTTATGGAGTAATAACATTAGGGTTTCAATTCTTTATGGTATCAGAGCCAAACCCTAGCCGTCACTCATCAGGACCTCACCGAGAAACCCCCACACCTAGCCGATCCCGCCCTTGTTCGAACCCCTCAGTCCCGTTGCTCGTGCACCATGCCGGACCTAGAGTTTGGCATGGGTTCCCTCGACTCAGTCCTCGAACTGATGACAGGAAGAGTATATATCTCACATCGATGAGATATATAACCGTTTTTGGTTCTTGTTTCCTCTGAGAAACGAGAATTTGTTTGCGATCCTACTCTTGTTATGCAGCAGAGGTGCTGCCAAAATTTTTTACTGCACACAACAAGGATCCGAAGAGTAGGTGACCAGGTGTTGGGTCTGAAGCCTGTTCGATGGAGGAGATCATCAAGAAGTTGAATCCTGCGGATGTGTCAACTTTGATGAAGCTAATGAAGTTGTCGGCTGGGGAGAGCGCGACAAAACCATCGAAGAAGTTGGAGCTTCCGACCATCGATATGAAGCTGGATGGACCGAGTACGTACCTGAGCTGGTCACGGCAGGTGAGATACACCCTTGCAGGGAGGAACCTGGAGGGTTATCTGACAGGAGAGGCGACAGAGCCGGATGAGGACTCGGAAGGAAGAGATGAGTGGAAGTTCACTCACATGTTGGTGTATATCTGGCTCCTCAACTCATTGGTCCAGTCGATCACCACCACAGTTGATGGCATTGAGAAGTTGAAGGACGTCTGGGAGAAGTTGAGGAGGACCTATGATGGAGTAGGGAATAACCTGAGGGTGTTCCAGATTAAGGGAGAGATCGACGCCACAGTACAGAGAGAGAGGACTGTACAGGAGTATGCCACAGAGCTGGAGCGTCTGTGGCTAGATTATGATCACTTCTCACCTCGGGCGAGCTGCAAGGACCCGGGATGTAAAGAGCGGGAGGCCTTTCTACAGGAGAGGACTATGGTGTTTCTCAAGTGATTGACATCAGAGTTTGCTCAGCGAATTGTATTGCTGCTAGCTCATCCGAAGATTCCCACGCTTAAGAAGGCTGTCTCTGCTATGATCCAGGAGGAGACTCGCATTAGGCTGCAGGCGGGGACATGTGGACTTTCTGTGGTGAAGTCAGCACTGACAGCCTCTAGCAACACTGGATCCAGGGGAGAGACTCGACGGTGCTACAACTACGGTGCGGTGGGTCATCTGAGGCATCCTTGCACCAAGCCACCCAAGGAAGGAGATTCGGGTGGACGTGGACAGTTCGGAGGTCGTGGTCGTGACCGTGGGGGTCGACGAGGTGGAAGAGGAGCAGGCAACCGGGTGAATCTGATGGTAGCAGAAGAAGAAGAAGAAACTGAGATGGTCTTTACTGAGGAGGATCGTGCTCTCTTGGCGATACTCAGGAGGAAGCAGAAAGTAGCAGGGGATGGAGACTTGAGAAGTGGGACTAAGGAGGCATCCACCTCGTTCTTCGTCAGAGGCAACACTGCTACCTATGCTCATCCGACCAAAGGTACTGATGACATACATGCTCTTGCTTCTATGTCTCCCGACAGATCATCAGAATGGATAGCCGATTCCGGTGCGTCTCGACATGTGACAGGTAATGCTAGTGAGTTCTCATCATATACTCACATAGCATCGCCTGATAGTATTCAAACAGCTGATGGTACATTTCAGCCGGTGGTTGGTAAGGGTACAGTCGATTGTACTAGTTCTGTAACTTTGTCTAATGTTTTGCATGCTCCTTCCTTTCAAGTCAATCTTTTGTCCATTAGTTCTATCATTCTTCAACTAAAATGCATTGTTTCTTTTGATATTCCCAAGGTGATTTTCCAGGAGAAGGGGACAGGGCGGAGACTTGGGATTGACACATGACGTAGTGGACTGTGGTATCTGGATCGTGAAGGGCTGGATTCAGCGTTAGTGTCAGTCGTAGAGAAAGCAGGAGTAGAATCTAAAATGAGTACTGAGAGTGAGTTAATGCTTCATCACCAGCGTTTGGGACACTCATCCTTTAGTGTTTTAGGTAGATTGTATCCTTCTTTATTTGAGAAAGCAAATAAACAGAACCTTGTGTGTGATGCATGTGAGTTTGTATGTTAGTTCTGGTCATAGAAGCTCTCAGGCATTTGACTTGGTACATTCAGATGTTTGGGGGCCTTGTTCCACAAGTTCTATGAATGGATACAAGTATTTTGTTACATTTATTGATTGTTTCTCTCGTGTTACTTGGTTATACCTGATGAAAAATAATAGTGAAGTGTTTGGGTGCTTCCAAAACTTTCATAGGAATGTTCAGACCCAATACGGAGCAGTGGTGAAGGTATTAAGGTCGGATAATGGGACATGGTATACCAACAGAGCGCTTGAAGAATATTTGTCAGCTCAGGGAATACAGCATCAGACAACATGTCCATACACCGGCTCAGAATGGCATAGCGGAAAGGAAGAACAGACATCTTTTAGAGGTTGCTAGAAGCATGATGATCTCTAAGAATGTCCCAGAAACATTGTGGGGGCAAGTAGTATTGACCGCAGCAGCGCTAATCAACAGAATGCCCTCGAGAGTGCTGGATTGGAAGTCTCCGTGTGAGACGTTGAAGAGAGATAATGGTGGGTTTCTTCCACTTAAAGTGTTTGGCTGTGTGTGCTTTGTGAAGGACAACAGGCCATCCGTCGGGAAGCTTGCCCCTAGAGCTGTGAAGTGCATCTTTGTGGGATATTCTGCTACTCAGAAGGGATATGTTTGCTGGAGCCCGGTAAAAAAAAGGTTGTTTGTGAGCATGGATGTGCACTTTCGAGAACTCGAGTCATATTACACCCGGAAGGTAACTTCATCCGTTGGTAACTCGTCCAATACTAGAAGTATGAGGCGAGAGGAGGAGAATGGTGAGAGATCGGTGAACAATGTGGAGAAATCGATTTCTGTATCGATCCCGATTCCTTGGGAGGAAGAATTGGTTGAGGAGGAGCAGGAAAATGAAGAAGAAAAGGAAAATGAGACAAGAGGTGTTAGGCCCACGGTTCAGGGGGAGTTACTAACCTATAGTAGGAAGGGGAAGCAAATTACAGGAACAGTACCTACAGTGCCACTAGTGCTGCTAAGTCTCTTGCCAACGCCTGCCCCGACTCCTAAGACACCTACACCACCACCAGATTCATCCTAAGGTGATAACATTCCTCTCCCTACTCCTCCCACACTAATATCAGTACGGAGGACTACTCGTAGTAATGCGGGAAATCCTCCCGATAGATATGGTTGGGATCTTGCCCAGCTTGTATCATATTCCAACATTCATCCTGCACATGGAGCATTCATTGCATCATTGGACTCTGTTACTGTACCTAACAATTGGTAGGTTGTTAAGAAGGACCCAAAGTGGAAAACGGCGATGCACGAAGAGCTAGGGGCTCTTGAGAAGAACCGCACTTGGGAGTTAGTAAAACTACCAAAAGGAAAGAGAGCGGTTGGATGCAAGTGGGTTTTCACTGTGAAACAGAATCCAGATGGACAGGTAGAGCGTTATAAGGCTCGTCTTGTGGCGAAAGGGTATAACCAGACGTATAGAATCGACTATGATGAGACCTTTGCACCAGTAGCGAAGATGAGCACTGTTCGGACCTTGATCTCTCTGGCGAATCGACTATGATGAGACCTTTGCACCAGTAGCGAAGATGAGCACTGTTCGGACCTTGATCTCTCTGGCAGTAAATGGTGGATGGAAGCTACACCAACTAGATGTGAAGAATGCATTCCTTCATGGAGATCTGGTGGAAGAGGTATACATGGAAATACCATCAGGTTTCGACACAGATCAGACAGTAGGCAAAGTCTGCAGGTTGAAGAAGTTTCTCTATGGCCTGAAGCAGTCTCCACGTGCTTGGTTCGACAGATTCAGGCGGGCTATGATAGGTATGAGATACCAGCAGATTAACGTCGATCATACCGTGTTCTTTCGACGGAGTGAAGGTCACATCACCATGCTTGCAGTATATGTGGATGATATGATTATTACAGGGGATGATGAGAAGTAGATTGCCCAACTCAAAGTGAGACTGGGTAAGGAATTCGATGTGAAAGATCTTGGCTTGCTTCGATACTTTCTTGAAATAGAGATAGCTCGAGGAGCGGAGGGGATCGTCCTATCCCAGAGAAAGTATGCACTTGATCTTCTCAAAGAGACAGGGATGTTAGGATGCAAACCTGCAACTACACCGATCAACCAGAAGTTCAAGCTAGGTGCTGAAGCTGGAGAACCAGTTGATCGTGACAGATACCAAAGGCTGGTGGGCAGGTTGATTTATCTGAGTCACACACGTCCTGATATCTCTTTTGCAGTGAGCATGGTGAGTCGCTACATGCACGATCCAAGGAAGGGTCATATGGACGCAGTATACCAGATTCTGAGGTATTTAAAAAGTGCCTCCGGAAAAGGGCTGATATTCAGAAAAAATGCACATATGAGTATTGAGGGTTACTGTGACTCGGATTGGACTAGTTGTGCTGATGACAGGAGGTCCACCTCAGGATACTGCATCTTCATAGGAGGCAACTTGGTCTCGTGAAAGAGCAAGAAGCAGTCAGTGGTGGCGAGATCAACAGCTGAAGCAGAGTATAGAGCCATGGCCTTGGGAGTTGCAGAGTTGTTGTGGTTGAAGAGTATGCTGGTGGAGCTGAAGCTGGATCAAGGAGCCAAGATGAAGCTGTGGTGTGATAACAAGTCAGCCATCAGTATCGCCAACAACCCAGTGCAGCATGACAGAACCAAACACATCGAGATCGATAGGTTCTTCATCAAAGAGAAGTTGGACAATGGACTACTGGAGTTAAGTCATGTTCCAACTAAGGATCAGGCAGCAGATTGTCTGACTAAGGGACTTAGCTCAGTAGATATGATTAGAGGATGTGACAAGATGGGCTTAGTGGATATCTTTCGCCCATCTTGAGGAGGAGTGTTGACATATTAGTAATAGATAATGTGTTATTTGTAAGTTGTGTTGTAAGGGCCTATATAAGCCCATCTTATGTAGTAATAACATTAGGGTTTCAATTCTTTATCTAGAAAGGCTTCTTAATTAACTCAACAGCGTGTTTATTGAGAAACTATCAAGGACACATATTTTGAAGTAGTGAATACCCAATTTTTCGGGGTAACTTGATATTTCAAAAGTTTGATCAGCCAAGTGGAAGTTCGATTCTATACCGTAACTGACAACCAGTTCAAACTTCTTGGCAACTTAACATGGATCGAATACTTTATAACGCGTAACATGCTTAATTTTTTCGGCATCTGCTGAGTCGTCGATAACCTTTGATTTGCGTTGGCAGGTACTATCACTCAGTTGTTTGGTGCCGGGGAAAGTGAATGCTCGGTGATTTTCCTTTGGACTTACGCTTTGGCTTCAATTTCTCTCACCCTTTGGTCCACTTTCTTCATGTGGCTTGTATCATAATAATACTGAGGAATAGCATCGACTGCTCGCGGCAATGAAACTATACTGGGACCATAGTATCATAATAATACAGAGCTCCCTTTCCCTTCAACTGTATCATCAACATTTGCTTAATTTAAGCAGTTTTTTTTGTTTTTGTTTTTTTTTGGATAATTAGCTATTTCTTCAACTGTATCCTTCCGTTGTTGGACAATCATCCAGTTGTACTCACGGGCATGCTATTTCTTCAATATTTTATTCAGTTAATAAACGGATAACCTTGCTCGTGTCATTACATCCAACTTCGTTAATTCTATACAACCAGTTTTCTACCCGTGGAAAGCACGGTGCAGTATTAAAAAGTAAATCCTCAAATTCTTTAATGATGTTTTTCTTTTTAATTTTTTGTGATTATATATATGTTATTTTGCCTATTTTATTATCTACCTATGGTTTCTTCAGAGTTTATTTTTTATTATTATAAAATTCCAATATAAAGTTGCTAACCCTACTGTGATATAAATATATATATAAATAGAAGGAATTATCTTATTATTTTCTTGATATTAACACAACATAAGCATTGATACCATACCAGCACTGTTGACTATTTAATTAAGTTATTAATTTTCGTCATTTGATAGGCAATTAACAGCCTTGATCATCTACCAAATCTATGAAATATCTTAATTTCGTATTATTAGTTTCAGCATAAATTAATATAGCGGTATAAATTACTATATATCTATATCTAATTAATATCTAAATAAGGAATGCAAATAATTAAACTTTAGTTAGAATATAAAATGAACAATTTTTCAAAACAGTCTCATTTCAATTTTTTTTAAATCGACCAATTTTTTTATTTACCAAAACCAACCCGTTTTTTTCCTACGTCAGCCTAATCACCCTCCTAAACAGTCGGGGTTGCCAACCCCCACTATTTAGGAGGGTGTTAAACCCCAATTAGAAGCCTCAAATCCTAAAATTTTATGTTCTAAATAGTCGGGGTTGGCAACCCCGACTGTTTAGGAGGATGATTAGGCTGACGTGGCAAAAAACGGGTCGGTTTTAGTAAATAAAAAATGAGTCGATTTTAAAAATAAAAAAAATGAAATAGGGTTGTTTTGAAAAATTGTTCAATATAAAACGGTACATAATTCTGTCTAAAGATGGTTCTGTAGAAATTGGCAGTTGATGGCTCAGAACAGGCAGTCGACAGGTTGGCGGTCGACCGCGTTCGTGCACAGGGTTCACTGTGCGTCTGGATCGTTGGTGGTTGACTACGGCCCACGATGGCATCGCGGTCGACCGCCACGGTCGACCGCCGCAGCGGTTTTGGGCTGGTTCTGTTTGCAGACCCGTTTCGTTTGGGTTTTCTATAAATACCCAAAGTCACGGTTCTAGGGTTAGGCAAGAGGGTTTTAGCAGCCATTGTGGGGGTTTTCTTTGGACTTCTATTCTAGGAGCAATTGGAGAGATCGAGAGTTGATTTGTTGAGGGTTTATGAGAGATTTGTAACCCTAGTTTGTTCCCCTTGATTTCTAATAGTGAAAACTCTCCCCTCCTTACCCCGTGGACGTAGGTCATTGCCGAACCACGTTAAATATTGGTGTTTGATTGTTTATGCTATCTTTTGGTTGTATGGTTTATCTCTCTCGGCTATTTGGTTGGATCTCGGCATAGGGTTTCTCCCCAACAGGTTCAGTAAATAATTTTAATATAATTTTGTCCACCACTTACTCTTTTGGCTAATAATGGCGACGGCTAGAAAGCTGATGATAGGTGTTTTTGTAAATTGTGACGTTTCTACTTTTGGCTAATAAGAAGCTGATTTTTTTTTTTTGTTCGATATAATCATTGCGTTAGGTGGCTTGAGGTCGTGTAGAGCGGAGCGAGCCCGCGGCATTGAATCATTAATCACTTCCTTTTATCTTCACGGTTAAACGCCTCTGAAGTTAGTCTTGAAAATAAAATGAAAATTGCTAATAGTACTGCATTCAATCACTTCCTTATCTTAATCTTAATCACCTTTAGCATTAATTAGACTGCAATGAATGTTCATAATTAGTTCAAGAAATTATACTATCACAAGTTCAGAGCTATGCGATATGAGTTCAGGTTGGACGCTTTTATTCTAATGAAGACCTACTCAAGTCTTGGAAGAGGGTCTCTATCAATGGAGAAGGAAGCAATTGATTGAGAAGCATATATATGTTTCTTCCTCAAAATTTAAAAGACTTTGACCTTTACCAACCAACGCATAAGGTCGTGAAGTTTAACATATTAAATAAGGACAAATTTTCAAAATCGACCCCTTTCAGTTTTTAAATGCAAAAAACGATCGGTTTTAAAACTATTTACAAAAACCGACCTGTTTTCAGCCGGTTTTTTTAAATTTTTTTGGGAAACTTCACGGGAGTTGAACTCCCGTGAAGTTTTTCTCATAACAAAACTTCACGGGAGTTGAACTCCCGTGAAGTTTGGGAAAAAAATTCAAAAACCGACCCAGTTTCAACCAACTGGGTCGGTTTTTATAAATAAGATTGAAATGGATTGTTTTTTGCAATTAAAAACCCAAAGATGTCGGTTTTGAAAATTTGTCCTATTAAATAATAATATAGCAAATGCAATAAGTTGTAAATCAATGTTTAAAGTGACATGACTATGGATATTCACGTCTTGAATTTATCTTTAGTTTCTATTTTTTTAAAAAAAATCTGCAAGATGTATAAAAATTTCTCAGAGGCTGTTCATATTGGAGGGAGGGGTAAATGAGCAAAAAATGCATCTTTCCATAAATCATGAATTACTCAGTTGTTTGGTGCTTCCTTCAGAATTGCGTTTTAGCTTCAGTTTTTCTTACTCTTTGGTCCATGCGGCTTGTATCTTTACTACTTACTAGGAATTGATAACATCAAATCGCTGGCATGAAAACAATAATACTGAAACCCACATACATACATACATTGTTCTTGATTGCTTTTGTTGTTGTTATATGCGCAAATAGAGACTTCCATTTTTCATCAATATTTGCTTATATATATTTGTACCACAAAGTTTATTCATTTTGAAGAAGCAAACAGTAGAATGAAATCAAATTGTTAGCATTGTGTATGAAGTGTTTGCTAGAAGCTGCCAGCAACGTATTGCTCTCCTTCTCCTGGACTCTGATTCCTCACAGAAAGAAACAAAAGAAAAGAATAAATTTCAAGAATAATGCAGGAAACAGCATCTCTTAAATAAACCGGACAAAGTTATTCACTGCTTCATAAAATATAAGATATTAGTAGGATTGCATCTTCTGGTTAAAGCACTTGAAAATATAATCAAGCAACAGATTTTGAGAAATCTCCTTCCCACAAAAAACAAACACAGTGCTTGAGGAAAGCAGGAGCGAAAACCAAAGCCTTCTACAAGTATGCCTTGTTCAACTCATCGAAGTAGGGATGCTCCATTGCTTTCTTCGCCGATATACGCTTTGCAGGCTCATATTGCAGCATTTTCTGCAAAGATTAAAATTTTTAAAGTCAGATATTTATAATTTTCATGATTTTTCATATGAACGATCGTCGACAAAAGGGAACACTCACAGAGAGAAGATCAAGACCATTCGTATCCAAAGTTGGAACAGCGGTCGACAGATTCTTTGGCGTCCATTGAGGATACTCGTGCCAATTCGGTAGCTTGCTTAGTCCTGGCCATACTTGTTCATTTGGAGTCCCCAGTAGCCTACATTAAAACATGAGGAAAAAAAATCGATATCCAAAAACAAGAACCGAACGAAAGAAGTGCAATGAAGTAATAATTGAGGAATAGTTGAAACCTGAAAATGTGCAAAAGCTGTTGCAGCTCGGAGTCCCCAGCAAATAGTGGCTGTGTTGTCACCAGTTCAGCTATATTTTGACATCAAACACAGAGAGAAAGTTAAAACTTAATATTTTAGATTTGAGATTACGTAGACATGCTTGGAAAAGGAAGATTTATAGATGTACCAAATATGCAGCCCACAGACCAAATATCGACTGGGGTCGAGTAGTGAGTAGCCCCGAGAAGAACTTCAGGGGCTCTATACCACAACGTCAGGATCTGTAACAATGATTTTTTAGACAATAATCAAAGATGCAGTCATTATTAGTATTTATATTTATGTTTCTTTACAAGCGAGACGCCGAAGCCCCTGAATTTGGCTAAAAGATCAGAACATACCTCATGAGTGTACTTCTTCATAGGAACAGTGAAAGCTCGACTGAGCCCGAGATCTGCTATTTTCAGCATCATTGTCTTTCGATCCATCAAAAGGTTGTGAGGCTTGAGATCTCTGTAACAAGAAACCATCAAATGAGACAATTTAGCTATGTAGGTTCCTGCGGATGCATCTTTGGCTAGTTTTATTTTATGTTTGAATGTAAACCCTATTTACCTGTGTAAGACACCATGGCCATGGCAAAACGCAATGCCCTTGCATAATTGGTACATCAGGGTCTACGCAAGAACAATGGCCAAAAAAGTCAATAGCACCATCATTTGTAATAACAAAAGGCAGTTTTGGTTCATATTTATGTTTGTGAAATCAGACCTTAACAATCTTGGATGGGATCAAACTGTGGTTTGCTCGGAAACTCTTGATGTACTTCTTCAGGTCAGTGTCCATGTATTCAAAAACCAGATACAGAATCGTCTTCCCTTCTTTATTCTGACCTTGCTTCAGATCAAGCAGCCTGCAATTGGCAACGAATTCATTAGAAATATGAAAATCTCCCCCGAGATGTTTTCATCATAAATGAATGCCGCCTTTTTTTATTTGATCAAGAACCCATCAGAATAAGAGCCACAAAAATCCCCAAGAATCAAAAACCAAACAAGAAACCCACAAAGGAGCATCGACCCATGTGAGTAAATCACCAAATTTTGTGAACTTAAAAGACTGATCGTAACCTAACACAGGGATTAAGATAGAGAAAAAGATCAAAAACCCCCATTAGAATGAAACCCACAAAAGCCCACATAATCAAACAATCCCAAACAAGAAGACTGCAAAGCAACAAGAACCCATATGAGTAGATCCCCCAAAATTAGATTAAAAAAAATATAAGATTGGTCAAAACCTGACAACATGGGGATCGATGGAGAGCATTCTAAGGATGGAGACCTCCCGAAGAGTGGTTGGAGGGACCCCTTCTTCGTCTTCGGGGAGCCGGGTCTTCTTGAGGGCGACGATCTTTCCAGTGTTCTTCTCGATGGCCTTGTACACTTTGCCATAGGTCCCTTCTCCTACCTTCTCCAGTTTCTCGTAGGCGTCCATTGCTCTTTGATTTGCTGCCCCCCTCTCTCTCTCTCTCTCTCTCTCTCTCTCTCTCTCTCTCCCTTCACTGTTTTCCCCCTGCCTTTTCTTTCTCTTTCTTTGTTTCTGAAAGACGAATGCAATAGAACAGAAGAGCAGAGAGATTTCGTGGTGGTTATTTTTAAAAGAGAGAAGAGACGTTGGGTTTCTTTCGGGGGATGCTCTAACGGCTACTTTTTTGAAATTTGAAATTTCAACGGGACTTTGGTTGGAGCGTGTTGGAAGAAAAATGAAATTTTTAAGTTAGCTCCCTCGTTTGTGGAAATAATTTATAAAATTCGCCTCTAATCTTTTGGTTGATAACGAAATCTTATTTAAGATGCGCCTTGAGTAAATGGGGTTAGGCTGGGCGACATTCTAACTGGACATTCGCAGTCGCAAATCCGAATGGGTGCTGGTTCTGGAAAATGGGGGGGGGGGGGGCGGGGGGGGGGGGGGGGGTCGGCGGGGGGGCCGGGGGGGGGGCGGGGGGGGGGGGGGGGGGGGGTAATTAGAAGTAAATTTAACAAAAGAAACAGATATTTATTTATTTATTTTAACCTTTTTGGCTAGTTATCTACTCATCTATACAAATGGGAGAACCCAAGATTCACTATTTATACTATAGTAAATGTTACAGTAATATTTATTATAACAAACAGGAAACGTGATACTACCGTGTTTTTAAAAAAATATTACCATAACACACGGGAATACTGTAGCAATTTTTAAAAACTGTAGCAGAGACGGGAACTGTTGCAATTCAAAAGGTATTAAAATTTTTAAAATTAGGATTACTGTAGCAAAAATATGATATGTCGTGTTTTGCACGGTGTTCACGACTAGTGTGATTTTAAACTTGAATATGATTTAGAGTGTGTTTGGCAACTTTGTAAAATTGGGTCAATGCTAAACGTGACACAATTTTAAGTCGTTTCTTGTTTGACGGCTTAATTTTTTTACCCCAAAAATTTACACTAAACCAATTTTCTTTTGGACTAGCTTTGCGTAGTTTATCAAACATAAAGCTTGTCAAACACACCCTTAAACTTGGATACAGCACCATTCCAATGGCTTTTTCGTGAGTAGTGAAACTTTCCCCCAAAAAAGAAAATATATTACTCAGATTTTGCTTGATCTTAGCTCTACGTGGGATAACCAGTAGATCCGCTTCATGTTTCCGTTGGTTTGCGTATTTGATTTTTTTTTTTTTGGTCCGTATGTGTGTTGTGTGTGTGTGCGTGGTGGGTAGGGGCGTGGGGCGAAGGCAGAGTGTGGGGGTGGGCGGGGGGGGGGGGGATTCAATACTGTGACATCAATGCTTCACCATAGGAATCTCGTACACAACATATGACGCATCGGTTGAGAGAGCGAAAGGAATGAAAACTATTAACAGCCAATGAACTCAAAAGCCAACTCAAACATAAATCATTATCCGTAAAACAGATACACTAAAACAAATTTGAATGACAAAAACGCATTACAAAAACCAAAACCAACTATAAGTTATTGGACAATTCTTCGCTCACAGTGGCATTATTTAAATTATAATAAAAAAAAAGGAATACATGGAAATATGTAATACAAACCCATAGACTTCTCTTTATAGATAAAAAGTTTTTTAACTAGACACCGGCGGCAACAGGCTCTTGAGGCTGTTCACCACTGCTGAATGCTTCCCAATCTAGCTCCTTCAACATTTTAAACCTCTCATCCAATGCAACAAAACTTGCTTGCGGACCGAGTATTCCACATTTACCGGCTTTATGGATCAAAATTATACTGCTTCCCATGTCAGGACCATGGAGCTTTCCGGTGAGCAACACTCTAAGCGGCATGAAAAGTGATTTCCCCTGTTCATTAGAAAATTCAACTGCGTTAGCACTCAATGAGAGCAAGTGCAAAGTTTTGACACCAAAGAGTGATTATCTTTTAGTACAGAATGAAGCATGTCCCCGTCAAAAGTATAACGGCATTTCCAATCAGTCTTAATGTAGTCACAAATGCTTTTACAATATGTTTGGAGCAACAAAGGAATATCTACATAACAACTATGAGAGTGGTCATCTACTCACATGTATAGCTAATGAATACTAACCCCTGCATTCATGAATGAGTTGTTAAGTCGAATAGAACTGTACTTGACAGGAAGCTAGGAAACTTCCATGGTTGGCTATGTCATTTTTTACTTTCTTTTTCTTTTGACTTGTTGCGTGCAATTGAGCATTTTCATGTGTCTTTGTACCTGATAAAAGAAGCCTGAAATATGAGTTGTCCAATAACATTGTTTGTAGTGCTACCAAACTAGTAGAAAAGGAACTCGTCAAGTTGCTCATAATCAATAGGGTGCCAAATCCATTGTGCGGTAAATAATTCCTTATCATGATGATTCATGTGATGAGTGTCATTCACGTGAGGATGCATCATGCTTTCCATCATAGGACATTTTACAGGAATTAAATCTTCTAATCGGGAATACATTGGATTATGGGTAAAGAAACGATATGAACATCAAGATAAGAAAGTCCACAATAATGATATATATCTCAGTCATCATTACTACAAATAGAAATTTGCATTAACTTCTGACGCACAATAGGATCAATGCAGTTATGGCAACTAACCTTGCGCTTCAAAGACTTGCCAAAGCTCTTTACCCATTTCTGCCAACCTGTATGACCTTCCTCCAATGCTTCAAGGAGTTCTCCACTCTCATAAGCAGAAATCAAACTTGCAGCAACATCAGCAAGCTTATCTTCCACAACAGTTTTGCCTTCCGCACTATAGATGGTTTATTTTGTCAATTTTTTGCCAGCTAATCATATTCAGTAGCAAGTGGTAGCAATGCAATAATGAGATGGAATTCGTGTAAACAGTGCATAACATGCATTCAAGTGGTGAGCACAGGAATTCATCATAGCCAATAGTGTCAGGCTGTTTGCAGTCCCCAGGCAGTTTGACTAGCCCAGACTTATGTTGCATGGACACTTCTACCTTGAAGGTGTACCTGTACCTTTGAACAAGGATCAGGTTCCTTTCAGCTCATCATATTCAGTTAAGAACTATGATTTTAAAGGGTCATTTGCATGTTTATAAAATACATTAAAGAAACATAAGTGTTACCGGAACTTTGATTCTCATAAAATGTGAATGAAACAACAATATTGACCTCATGTAGAGACAAATTTCAATATATATCGATGAGTCTTCGTACCCTATCGTTTACACTCTACCGTGTCACAGACCCACACTCATGCACGCACCCGTACCCGTGCAACATAGGCCCTAAACTTAGTCTGGTAGAGACGCTGTGGTTATCTCGGGTTAACAGGCAGCAAACTTCAAATCAGATCCACTGATGGTCTCGGTGGTTTTTCTCAAGTGTGTATACACAATAAAATTCACCTTTTGTAACATTACATGTACTTTTTTCCAGATATTAGATGGCGTAAAACCAGGGTATGGGGAGTGTTTGTAAACATTGAAATTATTTTAACTGCCGTATTTGGTTCTACTCATTCATATCTCCATCAATGAAGCACAACTTCAGCTGTAAAGAGTTGCTCTCTAAAAGAAGGTAGTTCACTTGTTTGAATCTATAGCTGCCACAGGAAAGTGCTTTTGGCAGAAAAATAGAAAGTATCATGCTTTATGCATGTAAAAAAGCTTTGCTCCTGTTCATGTTTATTAACATCATAAGAAAATCTTCACCAGGATAAAATAAAATAAAAATAAAAGGCAAACATAACTCATAGCAGGTGAACGTTACTAACTTCAGACTCACAAAAGTTGCTTTTGTGCTGTAAACAATGTCTTTTTTGTTTGTTTTCTGGCCTCAACCTTCTTTATGACGTTAGATTCACTTTTAATGGATGTCTTGTTCTTTGAAAACGTCAAAAGGTCCATTTCCAGCTTGTTCTATAAAAAGGTAAGATAGTATGTGTACCTGGCTAAAGTGGAGTGCAGGGGATAAGACAGCAAGTTCGACAGAGCAGTATCACAATCTGGCACCAAATCAATTCCATCCTTTAATAACTCAGTTACTTCCTGGGAAATAAAGAGTTTGCATTAGAATGGCCTGCTGAAAAATATGATACTAATATTCGGGAAGAGCGAGTTAACTACAATAAAAGAAAATACAACGTTCAAGTAAACAACAAATATTAACTGATGTGGCTGGGGTTAACTTTATTGATCGTTGGGGTAAAAGAACTTGTCATTATCAGCCAAAAGGGCTGAAATACGGAGCATGGATGAATACACAAATTGATAAAAAGTCTTTTGTCTTGCTACATATCGTTTGAAACTAACTGTTCCTGGTAACAATGTCAAAACATAAACGAGCCAACAGAACTAAAAAGGGATAGGAATAAGTAGAAAGGTACACCCAAAAATGTTCACAGCTAATGATTAATAGACAAGACACAGGTGTCATACTATGACATGGACATAGGTATCGGGTATCACAGTTGTCCAAATTTTAGTCTAAGAGAACACTACTATCTACGTAACTTTCTTCTGGATATGTGAGTTTAACTTAATAATATGTCTTGATTGTTCTTTATATGCAAAAGGGCCTAACTTTCATCCAATGATCTTTTTTAGACACAATTCTTCTTTGTCAAATAGGAACATACCATCCTTCATTGTATGCATCCATATCTATACTATCTATATTAAATATAAAGATAATTCCTGGATTGGCACAGTAAGCTTAAATGAAGTGGGCATTTGTCTATTTCCTTCCTCTCTCTTTACATTTCACAAGACTTCAGCGAGTAGGTCCTTTTAATTTTCTATCATAGAATTTTTCGCAAGCAGGCCAACTGCCTAGCCAAATACAGGTAGTCCTTGAGAATAAAAATTGTAAGGGTAATTAGGGCCCATTGACTCCTAACCAGAAGCTTAACATTTTCAACCTCAACAACTTGATATTGCAGAAAAGATATTTTTTTCTGCTGGGGTAAGAGTACCAGAGAAACTTTCTATCTCCACAACTTCTCTAAAGTCATTTTACTAGTTTTGTACATTCAACATTAATGTTTAACTGATACTTACCAGGTCTAATCTTAAAAATTTTCCAGAGATAGTCATAATAAGAAGCCTGCCTCCACTTGTTCATTTTTAAGTCTATCCATCACATTTCAGTACATTTACTCCTGCCTTTGCCATGCAAATCTAAGCACACTTGTTATGTCCCGCTGCTCGGGACTATGCAAAAGAATCGGGCCGGGAGGTGTCGTCCATAGTGGTTCCCCCCATATATTAGGAACAATGATTTCATCTTCCACTCCTGTGCAATGTGATTAAGCAAGGTAGAGATATCTTCAGATGTCTTGTTTAAGATAATCAACTCCAGTCTTGATGGTGTGTGGAGTAATAATCATTATATCGTCCTGGTCAAAAATAATTTGAACTTTTATCCTAGATTAGGCTGCCCAAGTAGCTATCTAGTGCATGCATTGCATTCCTTACAATTCTGATATAATGACCAGGTAAGAACCAAGTAAATATAAAATGCCTATTCCTCTTGTTACCACTAATGTGGAGAAAATAGTATTAATAAGCAACCAAAAACATGGATCAGTTTCAATACCAGTAATTCTACTAAGAAAAACTAGTTTGCTTAGACATATCCATGACATGGAATATGAAATTTTAGTTTCATGTTGGACTAATCATCTTTGGTGCAAAACTGGTAATCAACAGTCCAGGACCACCAAGCATAGAAATAACTGTCTTACCTTCACAAATGTGCCTTCAGATTCTAAGAGAATGCCAGTGCTCTTCCATCGACTCCCGAAAATATTGATCAGCTTGTCTGATGGTAAGGCTCTCAAATGTTGACCATTCATCCATCTAATCACAATGGAGAAAAAATCAGGAAAAGAAAATATATTCATACTTCGAGACAAAGTTACACAACTAAAAAGTAGTGTGTGATCAGTGAAGTCGCCATGATGCAAAACTGTAAAAGTCCATAATAAAGAACAGAAAGATAAATAATATAAAATCTTCTTGCAAGTTTCCCCCTTAAAAAGGCTCATAAAATTGTATGCAGTTTGACCTCTATCTATATGACTCGTCATAAGACTTCCATAATAAATCTGCACTTTGACCTTTATTTAGATGACTTGTCATAAGACTGTCACTCAAGATGGTCTTTGCCCTTTCCTTTACCCCAGATCTTGTGCTCCATGCTCTCCACCTTGCTCCAAAGTCATTAACATTTACCTATTTATTATTTTTAATTAGCACTTTGCACCACTATCTAAACTGGTTTGTCAAAAGACAATAATTCAAGGTAATTTTTTCCTTTCAATTGGTGCACCTTCTCACACAGCACCATCATTCAAGACCATTACACCCTACATATGACTGTGAGGGAGCAAGGAATAATGGGGAAATGGAAAGGAGATGGTTTTATTTTGAAACCGGCAGTAAAAAGTGGGCTACTAGCAGAAAAGGTGCAGGATAGAAGATATAGAGGTGTAAGAAAGGTAGAGGTAAGCATGGAAGAAGAGAGAGAGAATAATGAGGAAAGAGATAGAAGGAAGGGGAAGGACGAGCAAAAAGATTGGGGTATGGAATTACTGCTGACCATGGTTACAGAAAGCACTAGCCGGTCTAGGCACCGGACTTAACAACTACATCCTAGGCAGGGGCTAAGCAGTTTATGTATTTTTTAGTTTTTTATCACAATAATTGATAATAAATGCTAGTGTTAAAGAAAATACTAGGCGCCAAACTACACCTAGCGCCTGGGTGCATAGGCGGATTTTGGTGGTGGAGATTTTTGCTGAAGGTCCGAGGAGGCGGAGAGGTGTCCATAATTGGTGGAGGAGGCTGGAGAAGTTTGGAGGTTGGAGAACATGGAGGCTGCAGTGGGAGGAAATCACGACCAAAAGCTAAGCATGCAGTATGCGTAAGTGGCCACACTCCCCTAGGCGCTCCTGAGACCCAAACGAGCAGCCTAGATACTGCTTAGGCCTACGCAGGTGTCTAGGCCGGCTAGGCACCCACTTCTTAAAACATTTTGGCTGACATTGGACTTCTCAGTCAGAGGTGATGACAAGGATGCAAGTGCAAATTGTTGAGGAGGTTGGGTGAGATGTCAGGGGAGGGCAGGAAACAGTGGAAGATGTTTCACGCCTTCAACTTTCCTCTTTGATTTATCTTTAAGGACGAAACTGATGAGTGATGACAGACTGACAGTTAAAGATTCTAGGATATTTCTTTTCCCAAGAAATCTTTAACCGGATTCTGTCTTTTTACTGTAAAATCAAATTTTAACATATTACTCATGGAACGTCAATAATCAAAAGCAAGAACTTTGGAGAGACCAACAGCCACTCAAACATATCATCCAAAAGTCCTGTCTTCTATGACCACATAGGCTGCCTTGATAGTCATGCAGTAGCTGAAAAAGCTGGGAAAGAAGCAAATATTCATGAAAAGCTGAAGGAAAGCTCATCATTATATAAAGAAATATTGATCTTATAGAATACCAGCTTAAATTAACTAGATGACCATGTCAACATTAAATGTTGATTACAATCTAAAGTTGTCAGCAGTTGATTAAAAATCCAGTCAGGAAAACATCGCTTCACCAACTTAAATCATGCATGAATTAGGGAGGAAAAAAAATGGTCCTCCTGTTTCTTGTTCAATACTCACTTTAACTTTGTCGAATCAAAGATAGCTCCGCCCTTATTGACGCGACTAATTGAAAACTTCTCAACTACATAACATAAAATATGCTTGTGAAGACATAAAAAAGGTAATATATTCCAAATATTGTCAGCATAAAGGCCAGCAAGCTGTTAAAACAAAGAAAACCATTTCACTAACCGAGATTGTCAATAGTGAAAAATTCATTTTCTGTACCATCACCCCAACCCAAGAGTGCTAGGTAGTTCACCATTGCCTGAGGTAAATATCCCATCTCCCTGAACTGCCGAAGTAAGAGGAACAACCATAAGCTCCCATGGAAACTAATACTACTTGGTAATCAGCAGTACAAAACTTCACTAGGCAAAACTTAACCATAAAGTCACCTAAGAAATACATTTTACCTGGCCTACTGAAGTTGCACCATGACGTTTTGATAGCTTACTTCTATCTGGAGCAAGAATTAGAGAAACATGAGCGAAGGTAGGCATTGAAAATCCCAGTGCCTGAAAAAACATAACAGTTTAGGTTGTAATGGCATATGTATATTGCCCATTTACCAAATTGAAAAATGGGCAACAAAACCAGAATGAAACGAATGCCTCCAGAAAATATGAGCAATTTACTTTGTAAATAAGCGCTTGCCGCAAGGTGTTCGGTAAGTGTTCCTCAGCTCTGACATGCAAATGTAAGACAAAGAAGAATGGATTTTTAATCTATAATCTGCCAAATGCAGAATAATTAACCTTAAGGAGGAAATTTTGCTTGATGTGAGAAAAGTTGTACCTAATAACATGAGAAATACGCATAGTGGCATCATCAACAGTGACACAGAAGTTGTATACAGGTTGGCCATTGCTTCTCAGAATCACGAAGTCCCCAAGTGTATCTAAGTTCCATCTGACCTTCATGAGACTATCAAATGAATTGGCGATAGATATAAAAAAAAGGTTTATTGAACAATGCCTAGAAGTCCAAATTTACCAATTCACAACTACAATGATGACATATAATTTAGAAATATTATGACAAAGAAAATAACTTATAAAAATATCTTACTTCACCACGAATCAGGTCATCAATTTTTAAGTTCCCTTCTTTTGGTACACGGAAGCGGTATGTGTAAGGTGTTCCCTTTTCCAACTCTTCCTGCACCTCTTCTTGTGAAGCAGTGGCCCATTTTCCTGTATATACTGGTGGCAGCTGCATCTGCTTTGCACGCTCCTTCATCTGTTCTAGTTCCTGAAAGAGTATACAAACTTGACACCCAGATAATGAAAGAAAACTAGCCAGGGATAAATTTATCACATCAAGCATAAGCTTGAAGAAAAAAGTAAAACAAAAAACGGAACCCAAGACCTACTTTCATAATACCCAAACAAAGGGCAACACTTTTGAATATTACAGGACAGCTACAGTAGGCATTTCTTTAACCATCTTGACATGGTTAGACGTTCATGCAGCCAATAACGCTGAAAGGTGCGGCGAAACAGGGATATGCATCCGATTTTTCTTTTTTCCCCTGATGAACTCCATATATTTGACACTTCAAATATATAACTTTTCAGTTTTTATTATCATTAGAATTATATAAAGTATAAGTATCTTTAGCATCCTGTAACAAGAACTTGAAAAGGCGAAGTACAATCCAATAACTCCAAATCTGAAGGCTCAAGAGAAGGTTATAAAGGCCTATATCATTTGGGTTGTTTGAAGCAAACTAGCCCAGTGTCTTCGGTATTATAATGTTCATTGACAGATTGAATACTAGATATTGGACAGAAATAATATTTAGTTTTTGGAAAATGCTGAACTGAACTGCTAAATGAACACTCCATGGAAAATAGAAGATAAATTGTCAAGCTAGTCCGGAAAGCACGCCACACAAGTTGACGGCTCCATATTCATGTCGATGTTCAGTGTTTACAGTGTTCTCAAGTTGCAGATTCATGCAACATTAGTCGTGGCAAGTTCAGATAAAAGACCACTTAAAATGAAATATCTATCCCAATGTTGAAAAAAACGCGTTACGTAAAGCGTTGTAACTCGTTTTATAACTTAACGTGGCCTTCATGTTAGGTAACATAAGGATATAACCTAGTTGCAATTTAATTCTGCGCTTTTTTCAAAATAACGCAAACAAGAGTTAAAACGCGTTTATTCTGTAACGCAAAATAACCATAGTTAAATGGTTGAGATCTAAATACATGTCGACATTCAATCCACCATCCATTTTTAATAAAGATCCCTCATTATCTTCTCAATTCTCATTTCTCTCACCTCACCCGCACTCTATCTGGAGCCGCCCAAAAAAAAATCAAAACCCTAAGTTGTCGACGAGCAGCCACCTCCGCCTCCTCCATCAACGATGAGGAGCCATCTCCTCCCCCTCCTTCGTCGACGACGAGCAGCCGCAGCCCCCGCCGCCTCCTCCTTCGTCTAATGATGAGCAGCTACAGTCCCTCCCCCTCCTCCTTGGTCAACGACGAGCTCCGCCTCCTCCGTCGACGACGAGCAGCCGCAGCCCGTCCGCCTCATCCTTCGTCAACGACAAGCGGTCCCTAATCTTCTCTCTCTCCCTTATCCAGCATGCTCCTCTAAAACTACTGCCAGGTACTGCCAGGTGCTTCATCAGGTAAAATTTCAATTTATAGTTATTATAAAGTTAATTAAAACTTATTTTTCAGTTACTGCTTAGTGCTCAGATTTTAATTGATTAGTTAGGATTAAATTTGTGAAATTCATGTTGCCATTTGCACTTGCCAGTGTTTGTTAAGTTGTTTGTAAATTGGTAATTTGATTTGTGTTTGTCTTTTCATTTGTGCAGTAGTATATAATATTGATTGAAACAATGTCAAAGAGTTTAGATCCCATGAGAGAGCATGTTGTTACGAAAAAGGAGGAGCCACAACAGCACCTCGATTGCAAATATTGCAATCATCTTATCACAGAGGCTGTGATACGGATTAAGCATCACTTAGCCGGGACAAAGAAAGGAGTGAAGAAATGTGATAAAGTTCCGGAAACGGTGAAGAAGAATTTTGGGGATCTTCTCAAAAGAGCAGAAGTTGTAAAAGAGAAGAAGGCAACATTGATCGACTCAATTGGCAAGATGGATGACAACTCAGCAGTTCAACAAGAGATTCATAGCTTTGAGGTACAAAGTGGGCATGGTAGGAGTAGCCAGGTTCTGTAGTCCACAACATTTGGTCCATTGGACCAATTTGTTAATAATCGAGACCGTCAAACGACAATAGAGCAGAATCAAAAAAAGAAAAAAGGGATACGGTGGTAGATAAGATTGGCGGATTTATCTTTGCTAACGGGTTGGCTTTCAATATCTTGAACAGCCATACTGAAAGGAGATGGCAGAGTGCTAAGGACATCACGGACAAATTCGAACATACCTACCGACGTAGGAAAAGTCCTCTGGTGGACAGCATGACTATTTGTCTTTGAATTTCAAATTTAGTAGTTAATTCTGTTTAGCAATTTAGATTTGAATTTTGAATTTTGAATTGTGGTTTAAATTTAGTAGTTAATCAGTGTTTAGTATCTGAGTGATTTGAGGGATTTCCAAATCTGTAATTTTCGTTTCTTTTTAAAGCACTGTTGTAATCAGAAATGAGGAAGGAAGATTTGAATCAAGAAAATATTGTGTTAGCTGACTTTTAGTGTGAAGTCTCGGATGTGAAACCCTAGGCTGACTCTCTCCCTTCTCCTCCACAGTCACCGACACCCCCTCCCCTGTTTTCTTCTCTCCACGCATCAACAATCTCAACCCCCTTGCCTCCTTCTCCTCCTCCACAAGCACCGCCCCCTGCTTCTTCTTCTACTCCCCTCCACTGAGCGCCCTTGCAACCTTCACCAGCCACCATCCAATTGCCAATGGCCCTTCTCCTCCATTAACCGCCCGAAACCCCTACTCCCTACTCCACCTCCAAAGTCGCCCAACCGCTTGCCTCCCCGTGCTCCTCCACAACCGTTCGAAACCCTCCCTGTTCTCCTTCAACTTTCGAGCCAGCCGACACCACATTCCTCCCCTTCCCTCCTTCATATACGATCTGTCGCCACATCCCCTTAGCCGCACCTCTTTCTCCTTCCCCGATCAGCCGCCACTTCCACCATAAGCCGCTCGCCCCGTCGCTACCCTTCCGCCTCCACAAGCCGCCGACTTCCTCCCTCCTCTCCCTCAACTTCGCAAGCAGCCACACTGACCTTCCCTTGCCCTCCTCCACTTCCGAGCAGTCCTAATACCACCGCGTCGTCGTCCAGTTCGACGTCGTCGCATACGTCATCCAGTTCACCGTTGCTCGCCTCACCTCGTCAACGTCAGATCTCCGCCTCGTTCGTCGCCGATTCGAGTTTTGATTCCGCGGCTCATTAGTGCATGGCCGGTCCTGCAGCCGAAGACGCCCAAATCGTGTACGATCTAGAGACCGGCGTGGTAGCTTTGCAGCTCTCTCAGTGGTTCGACTACCAGCCTTTTGACACCCCAGTAGAGTACGTCGATCACGTGACTCCATAGATTGTTGAAAGCGTGGAGGGTCGTTTGGGAATCAGTTCGTGGCACCGGCGCTTCCACCCAGACGCACCACTTCACCCCAGCTACGTAGCTCTCGGAGAAGAACTCCCTCCCCTTATATTCGGCATCGACGCACTACCTCCAGAGGTCCCTCACGTCGAGCATGTTCAGATCGACGAAGGTTTCGTTTTCTCTCGACCCAGTATTTTAGGAACTGCTATCGTGTGCATGTTATTATCAATTTTAATATCAATTGCTATTGTGATGCGTTCTGCTTGATTAGTGAGCGAGTGACTCTATCTGCCGCGTATATTTGCTGATTTAAATATTACAAGTTAAACTTTTATTATAAGAACGAATCATTACATTTCTTTTCTGAATAATTTACAAGACCGTAACTTAGTACATTGCAACTTTTGTTTAAAATCATCAAGAGCTCCACTTTCTTCTTGAGGTTCCTGCCTAGATCGATCACTGCTTTGGTGAAGCATTGTTGTCGTCGTTCTTCATACCTACATACACATTATTTCACATCATTTTTTGGTATCAGAGCATGGCTCTAGGTTAGCAAAATTTGTATATTAGTTTAATTGAGTCTTTTATTTGTTATAAAAAAAACTATCATTCATCTTATTTAGTTGTTAGTGCATGGCCCACTCGTACAGGTCTACCCTATCAATTAGGAGTCTAGTGAATCACCTAGTGAGTCTAACATGTCAGGCACTACAGATCCCGAACTCCTTAAGAAATTCGATGAGCTAACAGGACAAGTGGGTGCCGTAGTCCAGTAGTGCAAAGCAATCCGTGAGGCCCTAACAGACTTCCAAAATGTAACCAACGAAAGGCTCGCTAGGCTCGAAGAAGCACGTGTTGCAACTCCGTCGCCGCAAGATCAAGGTTATGGACACATCGTTCATCGACCCCCACCTCAACCTGCGCCAGATCTAGATGCTCAATACCTAAGAAGCATTAAGATCGAAGCACCAACCTTTGATAGTAAGCTCGATTCACAAGCTTTCTTGGATTGGTTGAAGAACATGGATAGCTATTTCGACTGGTACGCCCTGACGGAACTACAGAAAGTCAACTTTGCAGCAATGAAGCTTACCGGACCAGCCTGCCAATATTGGTCCAACCTCGAAATACTAAGGCATATTAGAGGTGAATTGTCAATTTTAACTTAACGAGAAATGGTCGACGAACTAAAAAGAAAATACCTTCCGTCATCGTTCTATTAAAATTTGCTAGATAAGCGATATCGGCTTACTCAGGGAACCAAATTTGCAAAAGAATACATTGCTCAATTTGACGAATTATTTACTCGATGCAACATCATTGAGCAAGAGCCACAAATGAAAGTCTTATCAAATTTTAGAGCTGGATTGAGAAGTGACCTCTAAATAGAACTTTTTGCTAGAGTTAGACACTATTGAGAGAGCCTACGCCTTAGTTCAAGATTTGGATGAGGCTAAAGCCCACCCATCTCATAGGAGTCAAGATTTTTGAACTCATTCCTCTTAGTCCTTCCGTGCCACTACCTCTAGTCAACCTCAGAGTCGATCTAACCCTAGTTCTTCCCAGCCCAGAGTCGAACCCAAGGGTAAGGAGTAAGAGATTTTTCCTAGATTAGCCCTCACGTCAAGTGCTACAAATGTCAATGGTATGAACATGTTTCTGCGAACTATCTGACCCGTCACAATGTCTCTATCATCGATGG